GGTTATAAAAGGCTCCTACCCCCCAAGAACAAGGTATGCTAACTTTTGCGCTATCTGGTTTATTTTACCTTTGAAAGACTCTAACTTGAGCTTCGGAGCCCTTACGCCGGGTTCTCCCCGGAGCTTCTTCACCCCCTCCTTTTCAGGTCCCCTGCCACTCAGTTCAGAGGCAAGATCGTTGACAGCTAAAATCGGCCGGATTGTGCATCATCAAGACTCTATGCCCTGATTGGATTCTTGGTCTGGCTTGAATCTGAGATCCCAAATCGTGCTTGATGTTTAAGCTTCTGTATTTGATGAAAAAAAAAAAGTAGATTGTGGATGCATCTACCAAAAAATAAATAAAATAAAAAGGTAAAGGTAGATTAATGTAGATGCGACATTTCTAAGTTTGCAGTAGCTACGAGTTCTACTTCGACCAACTCGTTTTGGAACGTGTTCCACTGCTCTCTATTTGTTCTCTCATGGGTTGTTGGAACTGCGTAACCTCCATGTCCTAAGGTCCCTAAGCTAAAGCATCCACGCAAAAGCCAAGCCATTAAAAGAGAAGATAGGTACCAGAGAATCAAAAGGAAATGCTCCAGACTCCAAAAGATCATGATTTATATATTTTTTTCTTTGCTTGTTTTGATATAAACCTTTCAATTCAGCGGAACCCAACAAAATTATTGATCGAACCAGTATGTCTAAGTGCTCACTAGCACATGCCAGGTTCGCTTTCAGATGTAAAAACTGTGTTCTGACTTCTAAACTCGGATTACTGTGTTTCCAAACCATGCATGACCCATGAAACTGACCTTGTGTAGACACTGACAATCATTACAAAGGATGCCCATGAACACCCCCACGAACTCTACCAAACCAATGGCATTAATAGTGGATGTTATCGCTTGGCCAGGTAACCAAAATTAAGGAAGTTCTGCCTTGCTGGTGAAATCTGCATTTCTAGCAGCATAGGTAAAAATAGCGGTAGTTTGGGCTTCATCTCCTTTGGCCGTAATGCTTGATCATCAAAAGCAGCAGTAAAATGATTAAATGGATATCAAAATAAAGAGTTTTCATGGAAAACTCTGATAAAAAGCATAAAATTCACAACCGAAACTCCTGACAGAAAATGGTGCCCATTACATTTGTCCTATTAAAAGGGTCAAGGGAAGCAACTTTCACCAGTCTTCATGTCAGAATCGGCTTGAAGGCGTAGATGGACTGAAATTATCTTACTGGGGTAGGCAGCAATTCTACAGTAAACATCATTATCATCATCTAAGCAAGCCTTGCCCCAGCTTTATGAGGTTCTGCTACGTGATTCATCATTATGTTCTCTTCTGTGCCATATCCATCATTCAATAATTGGCGCTTCTATCATCTATTGTTACTTTCACCCAAATCCTTTTCAATCTGCCCGTAACTCTTATATACTCGTGATAGGGCTTTAAATAAGTCAGATCATTGCAATCTGAATTTGATCCGGTATGAGTTGGATTTAGATACCTCTCTTGATCCTAGCAAATCGGATCAGAAAAGTCGATCAGTTTAATTAACGGATTGAATTTAGATATATCCCGATCCGATCCAATACCTTACTTATGAAGCATTATATATATATGCACATCAAGTTTTTATTAAGATTAAAGATTGTAGTTGAATCGGATATTCAATAAGTATTCAAATTTAAATTCAAATCATATTCTTGAAAATCCAACGGATTCTAATTGGATTCGAAGCAGTTGGATTTCTTATAGAATCAGATATACCCTTTATGAATCCTATCAGATCCATTTACAGCCCTAATTCGTGATGGTCACTTGCCACTCCTCCAAAATAGGGTATGGATCAAACCCTAGATTTTAAAACCGGACTGGACCAGGCGGTCAGATCGAAAAAACCAGGAACCAATCAGGTGACTGATTCTGTTTTACCCCAGAACTGCTATTTCCTCAAAAACTATTGATTTGGTCAATAAACCGCTGACCCGGGTGTTCGAACCGTTCAACGGTTTGACCAATTTTTTTATATTTTTTATTTTTTTTGTCAGAATAGACTATCCATTCGGTTTGAACTGTCGGACCATTCAACCCAGAAACCGGACCCCTAATCGGTTCGTTGTCTGGTTCGATTTTAAAAACCTTATCAAACCTGTCGAATCACATTCTCTCCCTGAGTCCCTGGTATAGCCAGTGGGTCTCACGCGCACCTTGTTTATTTATTTCTTTTGTGTACTTCTCTTGTATATTCAGACTTCGAGATAACCTTGAATTGCCATGGCCCACATTATTAGTTGGAAAGCTTGGAAAACAGACTTCTTATTTCCTGCAGGCCTTCAATCCTGGCGTCCGCCTAGATCAAGAAGTGTGCCGTCTTCAATTTGATCCAGATTGGTGAGATTGGTGAGCCAATTTTTCTTCCAACCATCTGAAAGAAAGTGGATCAGGCATGTATTTTGCTCTGAAGCCTAGACATCTCTGATCAACTGGAAGTCTGGGATGAAACAAGATAAGGACCACAGAGAATAGCACACAATTCCACTTGATCCAGATTGATGAGTCAAAATTTCTTCTAACCATCTAAAATAAAGTGGATCAAGTTTATTTCTAGCTTGAGATAGGAGATGGGTAGGAAGTTGAATAGCAACATCCCATGTGGCAGCCATGGTTTCCAAACTTTCCAATAGCGAAAGTATTTTCCATTATCCTGTTGTATATAAATTGGGCATCTGCAGGTATGTAATCAAAGAAATGAAAGCGAGACCATTTGAAATAAAAAGAAGAAAAATAGGAAGAACGAAAACAATAGAGCATTATTTTACTTTTCAAAAAGAAATTGAAGCATGGTATTATTATACAAGAATTTCTGTTGACAACAATTAATCACAAATAATAGTAGTAACAATAATAACAATAACAAATAATTGAATTAGCGCAGCTATGTTTCACAAACCAATCCTGCCTAATCTAATGAACATCGATACCTTACCAAAAAAAAATGATCGATCCAGCCAGAGTGTCGACAAAGCCGGAGGGGTTCATACAATTTTTTGTAGCAGGCTACCCCAGAGCGTGCTTCCAAACACCCTTTCGGAGTATGAATTGTTAATGAGTGCAGCAGGTTAGCAGCTGTTGGCACTTGAAAATGCCTCTTGAACGACCGTTTCAAGCAGATAATACCTGCGTACCATTCTTAAGTTGACACCTCCATTGCTCAATGCTCATTTTATAACTCAAATCAGTCCCCATTAGGCCTCTTATTGGGGGGTTCCCTCTGTACCATGTGTAAGAGATCCTGAACAATTTCAGACATCGGGGGCCTGAATTCTGGCTCAGGCTGCAAAAAATAGATTTTAGTGTAAGATGAGTTCATTTCCCCTGAATGAAAAAAATGTAAATAAAAAAAGGGACAGAGTAATGATCAAATGTATCAACATGCAAGAAAATATTAGCAATTCAAAACAGAAAACAGAGATGCTGTCACATTTCCCTTGTCAAACTGTTCACCTTTTTAATATAACCAATTTAAAAAGGGAAGTGATTTGGGCACATCCCATTTTTATAAAGGGGCCCACCCCAAATCATCATTCAAGAAGTACATGCATTAAAAGATAAAAAATAGCCCCTCATTTTAGCTTTCTTTGTGACCAACTGCTGTTTCTTTATTTTTTTCACTAGGGAAGTGCCCTGATCACTCCCCTTTACAAAAAGTTGGCCTTCAAAGGAAATTTTAGAAAAGGAACTGCTTCTTGGTGCAGTGGTAAAATCTGAGGGTGTCAAGCAGAGAAGATAAGTTTGATCTGAGAATGGTCACTTCATGCAAGAAAGTTCCATGGGTTATATCCATATCCTCCGCACAACCAAGCCTTGTCCCAACTATATGGGGTTAGATGAATCTTGTTCCACCATTCCACTTTGCTAATGTGCCATGAAATGGCAAAAATCAGAATCCATGTTTATAAGAGTTTGGCAAAAAGGTTTTAGTGCCAGTTTCCAACCTGAAACAACCTCTCCATCCAGGCTTGGTATTAGCAGTGTAAGACAAACTTAACAATGGCAGAGTTCCATTTTAGAAGGTAAACTGCCTCAATAAAAAAAAAAAAAACCTACAATTATATGTTTTTAAAAAAGTCTAAGGAAAGGATACAACAAGGCGGTCACCTGGATACAAAGAGAAATAATGTCTGCAAAACGTGACAACGATTTGGCAGGGTAAGCTCCATTGAGGGAAGGATCAACCATCCTTGACAATGCATCAATATCATGGAGTTGGTTAATGGCCCATCTTGCCAAATGTTGCTCTCCTCGAGGCCATGACCTGTCCATATTGTTTTAAGAAGAGAACAAGTAGCCATTACAAAAAAAAAAAAAAAAAAATGAAAAGAAAAACAAAGCAAAGCCAACAAGTTTAGATGTACATTTCTAACCTGTCATAAGACTTTCTCCCTGTAAGAAGTTCTAACATTACAACTCCAAAGCTGTAAACATCACTTTGGTAAGTATAAATACCAGATTCAAACTCTGGAGCACCATATCCATAAGCTGATAGAAGCTGTCCTGATAACTGAGAATAAATAATGACAGTATCAGTAAAAGTTGCGAAAGAACTCAAACGTAATTTTGACCCTACACCCCAACTTGGACTGCTATGGATGTGACTTTTCCCCATCTTTCTGACTTGAGCCTATAATAAAGAATTGGTTTTAACTTCAGGACATGACCAATTAGATTGTGTAAGAGTCAAGCATCAAGTTAACAAAAAACGGAGATCTTTCACACCCTTGGATGGGATGTTCAAAATGACCATCTTGCATACCTTATCCAAGTTTATGGAAGATCCAAAAAACAAACATAAAAGTTCATGGAAAATAAAAAAGAAATTTGATTATGAATTTTGATTTTTCAAGTTTGATTGTTTGAACTGGATTCTTTTGGGATGGATACATCCACTAAGGGTAATAGTCCAAGCACAGGTGGCTTTCCCCATGGCTTGTACCACATATTTGGTGCACAGAGGGCTAACCAGCTATACGCATCATATCATGGAGATCTCCTAGCCCAAGTTTAATCAAATTGGACAAGCTTAGACATGAGGGTCATCATATTAATGTTGATAGCCTGAACAAATAAGAACATAGACCAACAATCCAGAAATAATACCATAGGCCAGATGACTGAAATCACAAAACTTATTCACCCTCTGAAAGAATTTCTTGATGGGTCCCACCAATATGGTAGGTCATAATTTCCTAGGAAGTATATGTACAGCATGGGCCAGGGAGGATAACTTCTCCACTCGTCTAAAATGATATTCATCAATTCCTGCTGTCATCCTTTCTTTTGCTTATTTCAATAGTGTATCCAGTGTCCCTGACCTTCATATTAATCATCTCTCTCCCTGGTGTGTTTGACTGTACTGTTTATACGGTTATATTGCGTCTATTTATATGTCCACTCAACTTAATTGTCTTACTATCAACTCCATTAAGTCAAATTTGGAAATGGAAAAGCAGATTCCCACTCCAATCAACATTTCCAAATACAGGTCAACAGGTCAAATATGCATAAATAAGAAGAAATAGACCTTGAAATTCTAAGGATATTGATTTACCTGACTAACAGCACTGGATGATATTAGAGAAGCCAAACCACAATCAGAGACATGTACTGCAAGTTCATCATCAAGAAGAACATTGCCAGACTTGAAATTCCTATGTACAACAGGTGGTTGGCAAACCTCATGCAGGTACCTTCACAAATAGAACAAAAGGACAACATTAACATTTAGCTCTATAAACATACAAATTAATAGTGTTCCAAAACGAGCACCTACATTTACGCAAGGCACTTGGGCACATTTCAAGGCATGCATCTGGTGTGCCTTGCACCTTTGCTTAGGCATGCACCCTTTATAAGTTCCATGTTTTGTTACTTTTTATACATTTTTTATGTATTTTATGCCTCTATGATGGTCTATTAATTTCTAAATTACCTTTTATTGGTGTTTGTGCACTAGTAATGGTCTATTAACTTTTAAGCTTTTTGAATACCTGAAACCCTACTTGTTACAAATAGGATCTTAGATGGCAAGATTTCCACTAGAGAAGAAACAACAATACAATTAATCTTTATGTGTGTTAGTGTGCACTAAAACTTCAAGTCAACAGTGCTCGCTCCAAACCTCCGCATGGCCCTCCACCTCCATAAAGGCCCCAGCCTCTTAGTTTGGGAATGGAAAACATCTAACACCAGACTAGTAATGCAACTAAGAGATGGACAAACATGTTGTAAGTTGAAATGCCATGGCTGAATTGTTAGTGCTTGAAGCACTTTGGTACAATGCACATCTGATTTTTTTATTTTACTTTGAATTATCTTATATGTTAGGCTAATGTATTTTGGTTGCAGCTGCAGCCAGTGAGATTTTTAAAGCATTTAATTCCTTTCAAAATTAAGGTTTTTCATTTTTTTCATATGTTTGATATTTTTATTTTTTCAAAAATTGGTGCCTAGCTTTGTCTTGGCACTAGACCTGTTCACAGGCTGGGTTCAGGCTGGGGCTTTGCCTCTTTATAAACAGAAAATAACTAGGCCCAAGCCCAAGCCCAGCCCTGCATAAAGCCCGAAGCCCGATCTAGATAGGTATTTTATATTATATTAATTATATATTATAACATATGTAATACTTTTTTCACTACTAATTTTATTATTATATAATATGTATTATATTTTTATTATATATAATATTACCGAGTCGGGCTTGGGCTTGGGCCAAGATTATTTGGGAAAGCTAGAGCCCAACCTGAAAAGTAGTCAGGCCCGATGTTTAGAGCCCGAGCCCAAGCCCAAGCCCACGGGCTTAAAACTTTGTCCAAGACCAGTTTAGAACAGGCTGGACTGGGCCAGCCCATGAACAGGTCTACTTGGCACATGCCTTGCCTTGGGCACTAGAAGGCTGTTGTGCTTTTCTTGAACCTCTCACTTTTAAAACACTGATATTAAAGTGGAATAATCATCTAAGGATGGGTGAATAAGTAAAAGCAGCTTTCTCTGGTTCCTAGTATGCACATAAGCAGATAGACAGAGGTGCCGGTTCTTTTTATTTGATGGGTCCAATGTATGAAATTTCCAATGACAAAGTACACTACATAGAACAAATAGACAGGATAGCTTGTTCAACAAGCTGCCATCCTGACATTATAATTCATTTAATTCTAAAAAAAATCTTAAATTCCTTCAAAATACCTATGAAAATAAAACAAAGTCAGTCTTGAGGCTCAGTTTGGAAAGAGTACAAATATGTACAGTGCAAATGCATACGAAATAATACAAAATGCAAGGTTTTGTACTCTACATATTTGTATTTGCACTCCTTCCAAACTTAGCCTAAGTGGTAAACTGGGACCTCTACTTACTCTAGAGCCCTTGCAGCTCCAAGTGCTATTCGAATGCGGGCATTCCATGAAAGTTTTCTATTCAGTTCATCATCAGAATGTAGGGCATCATGGAGTGTCCCATTACTGCAGTAATCATAAATGAGAAGTCGTTGTCCATGCTCTGCACAGTAACCCTCAAGCTTGACAACATTAGCATGTTCAAGCTTAGAGATACTCAAAACCAACTCAAGAAATTCCTCATCCTTCTGATTCTTAGAAGCTGGATTATCTAGTTTCTTGATTGCCAGTAGCTAGAGAAACATTGAGAGTGAAAAGAATATGTATCAGCATATGGAATAACAGAATTAATAGAGTAAAGTTCACACTAATACATCCACAAACAGAACTTATATTTTGACATCTAGGGAGATCTAAGCTTGACAACCATCTAGATAAAGCACACAAGTATAAAGGCAACATAGAAAACAGTATGGTTTTGCTCAAATAAAACACAGAGAATAATTGAATCAAGTATCAAGAAATTCTCTTGCTACTTCAAAAGTCCTTTGTCTAGCTCAATTAGAACCTATTAAAAAATAGAAGAGGGAACTTTAATATGTTCACTTAACAGAGGAGGATCAATATAAAATTGAAAATTTTATCTATATACCTTACTGTGCTTTCCTTTGGTGGGTTGATGGTATATAGAAAGAGATGTACCATCACCTATGCATCTAAATGGGACTACTAAAATGAAAGCTAGTAAGTAGAAGGATTTAGGAGTTAGGTTTCTCTGCAAATGATAAAAAGAAGAAAAAAATGGAGGGGGAGGGGGGCACAACCTTGATTTGTAAAGAAACAATCCAAACATAAACTTCTCACCATGACATCAAAACTTCCAATGAAATTTAACATAAAGGACCAATTTAAGTATGCCTTCATTTAATTAAACAACAAGTTGGTAGTTTCCATTTAATCAGTTCTGTGAATCCAAGAGTTTTATACCTTTCCATCAGGAAGCTCTGCTCGATAAACACTGCCTAACATGCCACCTCCAAGGAAATTTTCTTGAGAAAAGCTGTTTGTATATTGCTGAAGTGACGCAATGGTGAAAGATCTTACAGAAGTTAGTGGGTTCAATTTTCTGGGGGGCACAATAGGGTTCACAATGACCTTCTCAATAAGAGGGGGAGGGGGAGGGGGAGGAGGAGGAGGAGGAGGTGGTGGTGGTGGTGGTGGTGGCATTAAAATCATATCTATACCAGACATATCTATCTCATGGTCCTCCTTTTTCTTTGGAACCTCACCCATTCTTTTAATATCTGTCTCATTATTGTCCTTCATTCTAGGAACCGCAGTCACTCTTCTAGCATCAATCTCATGTTCATCCTTTGGCCTTACAACTGCTTCTTTTGGCACTGTTCATAAAATTTCAATAACCTGTTAATAGAAGGTGAAGAAACGGAAGCCAAAACATTAACTATTAAAAAGCTTACCCTTATCTCTTTGATTGTCTAGTTGGTCCACTGAATGCCTCTCTTTATGCTTCTCTCTGGGCTCTTTATATGTACCCATTACTTCATGACTGTTGGCAAATATATCATTCTCTTGCCTTTCTTTGCAACATCTTGATGCAAGAAGAGCAACCACTAATAAAAATATAATAAATATTAAAACCCCTGCAATTGAAATCCCAATAATCCTTTTTCTGGTCAAAGTTTTTTTTGTTCCTGTAGAATTCAGCCCTCCAGGTGAAGTAGCCCCATTTGTATGATTCACAGGTGTTACTTCTGAAGATGGTGCTCCAGTAAAAGGAGGTGGTGGGGATGAAGGTGGAAGCAATGGAGCAACAGTTGTGTTGAAAGGGTTACCATCCTTTCTGCATAACATATCCAATGTAATATGATAAGGCCACAATAAAATTAATAATAATCAACTAAGTCAAGCACAATCATTTTCTCATCACTGTAAAAGTCTTTTTCTTTTTCTAGGGATGAAAGAATAGCCATAAAACATAGGGAAATAATGCACTTTCCAACAATGAAGTACTTAAATAACAAAGATGATCTAATTTCTGCATTAGAAACTTCTTTTGGTAGTATGTACACATGGTACTAGGAAAATGACTTAAATATCTTCATCTGTGACTGAATACTCCCATTGCCATTTGCCACTTTCAGATACATATTTAAGGTGAAGTATGTCTGTATCTAAATTACATAAGTTCCACACCTAAGTATTACAATACAAAAAAACTGGAGAAGTAATTTACTTCAAAGATAAAATAGTTTGGATCTATCTATTAGAAGGTGCTCACTTGAAATTTGGAATATTCAGCAGCTTCTCAGGTATAGGTCCAGAGAACAGGTTATTCTCTATATTCCTGTTGAACAAGCACAAGGTTTTTTTTGTCAAAACCCATGAAGGCAGAAGAATGTAGTTACAAGGTTCTGACACTAAAAGCAATGTCATAGAAAAAAATTCCTAGAAAATAATGTCATTGAAATGGTTCATAATAGTACAAATCTCTCAAAGGCAGATCTTGTAAAACATCAAGAGTCCCGGATAGTTGATTATTCTGCAAGTGCCTACACACCAAGAACAACAAATTCATTATATTGCAATCACACAGAAATAAGAATTCTTATCAAATTAACCTACTTACAAGGTAGTTAAAGATGACAAGCTTTCCATTGAGGGAGGCAGTTGACCACTCATATTGTTATTGAAGAGATCACTGCAGCAAAAGATAGTATAGTATACTAACAGTTAAAAACCTGCATTCTGATCATGGAGAAGAAATGCCACTCAAACGACAGGGAATCCTTACAGGTTTGTCAACAGAGTAAGACCCTGAAAGGCATCTGGTATTTGTCCAGTTAAGTGATTATTGTTAAGCGACCTGAGATAATAAGCCATTAAATTTATAATAAAACGTTAAAATGCAACGGCTCCTACATGTGTACCTCAAGCTAAAGAAAACAGAAGCTCAAGCTTACATGGCTGTCAACTGAGACAGAGAGGATAAAGTACTAGGAATGCTTCCTGTGAACTGGTTATCTGAAAGAAAACTGCCAGATTTGAAGAAAACCATATGTTTAACATAAGGCCACGATTCAATGATTTTACCATATTGTGGGATCAGAAAAGAAAAGCCAGATAAACATACAAGTTTTGCATGGTAATTGGCAAATTCGATGGAATACTGCCACCAATGTGGTTGTTGCTGAGATCTCTGCCTCAAAACAGTAGTCCAAAACATCAGCAAAGGAATTCAAAATGGCACATCTAAGTTTAAATATATTCTGGAACATAAGTTATGGCATAGTGGGCATATATTATCTCAAAGAAGTTTGATTCCTCTAATTTTCCTTGTATATGTAGCATATGCAGAAAATGACCATTCAACTAATACAAAAATTCCAGGTTGCACACAGGACTGTAACATAGGGGCATCCCATTAGGATGATCCTCACCATCCTACAAGGTTGAGTTTGGGCTACAAGATCTCCAAGACAGATGCTTGCCAATTAAACCAGTAAGCACCAAACATACAATCAATGGAAAGACAGTTATTAATGCTCATGCTTTGGCACAGTATTAGTTGATACTGCCAGGAGATCAACTAAGGAAGAAATATACAAGAGAGTCACTAAAAGCATACAAAACACCTCAGATAATGGAACGATATCAAAGATTTAAATTGATACCACTTACATGGTTATCAATGAAAAAAACGATCCTAAGTTATCACCCAGTTCCCCTCCCAAATTTGCGCCATTGAGTATTCTGTAAAAAAAAAAAAAAAAAAAAAACAAGAAAGAAAGAAAATTCCAATTAAATACATTTCTTGGACCATAAGTGACTACAAGATGGTGTCTGTAGGGTAACCGTACATTGAGGTTATATTAGAATTGACACATTGGACACCTTGCCAGGCCTCCAAGCACGGGTCTCCTCCACTGGCAATCCATCCGGGAAGAGGAGGATTGCCCAGCGCAGTATATAAGCTATTTATTGCAAAAACTGCCAAATTAAAAGAAAAAACAATAATATCATTATACAGAACTACTAACATTTCAAGCAATTTACAATTGGAAAGAATAAATACAAAAAAAAGAAAAGAAAAAAACTAGACATTATAGAGAAGTAGAGAATCACAAATGCTGGAATAGACCAAATGTGAAAAATACATCTAATGCTAGAACGTTTCAGAATCTGCGGATCTAAAGTAAAAATAAACAAACAATAAATGAATGTCAAATCCGGTTTACCGTCTCGCGGATCAGTGTATCCATCAGAAAAGGATGCTGAGAAAACCACCATCAACCCCAAGAAGACCCGTGCGTAGATCTCCCAGCTAAAGTGGTCCATGGCCGATCTTCTACTCGTAGTCCGACTACTCAAGCTTGTCCTTGAACTCTTTGTGCAGCAAAATTCCCAATAACTTAACTGAGCATTACTTCTCAAATCTGCAAAAGAGAAGAGATAGAGTAAGAAGAAGATAATCATGAAGACGACCATGAACAACGTTTACAGATCTCAACTCAACCACAGTAATTCAAACTTGGGATATTTTATAGAAGAAGAATTGGACGTAAACAAATCAAACAAAACTTGCTACTAAAAAACAAAGAAAATCCAAATTCTAAACAAAAATGAACTCAAAAGAGCATTTTAAATCGAGTCGAACCCCAGGACGGAGGAGGAATCAGCAAAAGCGAAGTCATAGAACCCTAAAACCTCTCATTGTTCAAAAAACAGTGTCCATTGGCAAGCAAAGTGGTTTAACAACTTCTGCACACGCGAATATGTCCAAATTAACATCGCTGTAATTAGCTGCTAAAATTCCAGGAATCCGACTAATCCAACATCGACCAACTAAACACCAAATAATACATCCGAATTTCAAAAGATTTAGTATAACAATGAAAAGATAATAATAGCTTAATTGAGTGACTGAAAACCCTAACCCTGGAGACGAGGGAGCTGGAAAGCGAAAAAGGCTAGCGTCCAAAATCACACAGAGCTACATACAGAATAATGGTTCGATCTCTCTCTCTCTCTCCCACCTTCTCACTCAAAGCAAAAAATAAGTGAACAACGGTACACGCAAGTCATGCATGTCTATTATTTAATTTTAGCATAAAATTCTGCTCAAGCACTCAAGCAGCTAGTAGTATAAAAAGGGCTCCATCCCACGTGGATGTACGGCTAGAATGGGCTTTAACAAATGGGCTTTACAGGCTTGGCATTAGCGTAGCCCACCAGGTCCAAAGCCAGTCAGCCAGCCAACATTAATTACGAACCTATTGAAAGTTGAAACGCATGTGTTTTGATTTTTAATTTGGCAAGAAAAATGTGCCCAGGTCAACCGGATCGGACCCCCGCAACAGCTGGTGGCCCAGCCGATCCAGGTTTCATCCAGTTTTAAAATCACACCCGGTTTTACAAAACCAATCTGTTTTTGTGCTGCGTACTGATGACCCATTGAACAAAGATCACATTCAAAGTTCAAGGTAGTCCAGTTAACATGGTCCGATCCATTTAGCTTATATTGATGGGTGGTCAATATGGTGGCGCATATGTAGATAGGTTTTGTAATTAAAGAGGCGCCGTTTCGTGTAAGATGGAGCTTGGATGGGCCATGTTGGAGAAAAGGTTGGGGCCCAACGAATCTTGCCTTTCTCTAAGCCCATTGGGCTTTACGGCTTTACCCCACAACTGATGATTTGTCATAACTCGGAGCAATTTCGCATTAAGTTCCAACTTCCCAATGCCGAGTTCGAAAAAGCTGAACAAAGTTGAAAGCTGCTTTAGACTTTAGTTAAGAGAGGTGGTCTCCTAATCAGCGCACTCTCATCGTGTAAACCATGAGTTCTCTAACGTGTTAATCGCTCAGTAGTTTGAAAGTAGAAAAACGTCATAATCTGAACTTGCGTGCCAACGAGAGACAGAAGACGCCGGGGAGCTCATGCGTCACTGATGCGAGAGCGCTCACAGTATCAGAGCCCCCCCTTCAGAAAGGGATTTTGCCTGCTTTTTCTTTTTAATAAATAAATAAATATAATTGCCTTTAAAATGTTGAGAAAAGAAAATTGAAAAGAACGTCACAAAAGGTTAAGCTGGTCTGGTGTTTCCTTTCTTCTTTTTATCCCTTTATCCAATCGAAGCAGCTGACTGGCTGTCACTAATCGTGGAATCTTGTTGGACGACAATAGCATACAATGCTCCAAATTTCTGAAAACGCCCATGTTTTATCCCCATCATATCGTGGAAGTTAGGCAGATCATTTTAATAGTCGAAAATGCCCTTTACAAAATATCAAAACCCCTGTATAAAACCGCCAACCCTCAACTCTCAAGGGATGCAACCAAGGTTCAGTATACACCTGTTCATGGACCGGGTTCGGGCCAGGCAAAGAATACGTATAAGCCCGAGTCCGAGCCCAGCCCGACCATCGGGCCTAGGTCTTGAATCCAAGCCTAGTCCTTATATAAAGTTCGAAGCTTGAGCCTGAGAGCCCAAGTTTGATCAAAAATTTGGAAAATATATCTTTTTTCCCTTTTTAATTCAATTAAAAATTATTTATTTATATTAAAAGACCTCAAAATCTAAAAAAATAATTAAAGATCTCATTATTACTTGAAAAAAGAGAAGAAAACTAAAGAAAAATATTATATATATAATATAAAATATATTTGTATTAATATAATACATTATCAAGTGGGGCTTTGGCCAGACTTTTATAAGAAAACCTAAGCCTGGCCCGAAAAAGGTTGTGCCCGATATTTTAGGCCCGTGTCCAAGCCCGACTTAGATCAAGTTGGGTCAGGCTGGCCTATTGGGCTACCCGGCCCATGAACAGGTCTAGTTCAATATCGATTCAAAGGGGGTAACATGCACAAGGAGAAAGTGTTTTAAGTTTCAAGTTTTGAACCACTAGGAAGGGCATTAACTGTTTAATATTGCCACTTGCCCTATATCTAGGGGTGAACATTCGCTTTATTTCATTAAAAACTAAGTTGAATAAACCGAATATATAAAATATAAAACTGAACTGAACTAAAATTTTTGGTTTGGTTTTCGGTTATTCGGTTAAAACCGAATTTTATTAATGTTATACTAATACATATTATATATTATACATTAATGTAATATATATACATATATGTATATTATAATATATGTATACGTTAATGCATATTATATATATTAATATTATATAATATATATTAAATTTTGGTTAATTCGATTTTTCGGTTAACTGAATTTCTAATCTTGAAACCAAAACCGAAACTGAAATTTTATAAAACTAAATTAACCAAACTAGAAAAAACAAAAATTAAAAAAAACCAAATCAAACTAAAAAATTTTGGTTTTAACCATACAATGCTCACCCTTGCCTAGATCTTTGTATTTAGTGTACTAGTGACCCTGAAAACAGCTATGCATCAGTCAATATAGGGGTGATCATGGGTTGGGCCTTACACCTATGATGATAAAGGTTATGGCCTAGGCCTAGAACTCAGGCCTAAAGCATAAGCTTGGGCCCAGGCTCGAGCAGGTTTGATTCTAGGTCTATATCTTTTATGTATAAAATACTACATATGTATAATATTTTATATTATATGGTATATAATATGCATTAAAATTTATTTTATATATTATATATTATAAAATCTTGTATAAAGCTAATCAATTGGTATCATAAAACTGGCGACCAATTAGATGCCACAAAAAATGTGGTATTCATCAAAATTCATGGGATTCTATGATTGGTCAAAGCTCTTTTGATGCCTATGTCTTTCTGCTATCATAGATTTTCCCAATACATATTGTAAGTGCCAAATTATATTGTTTATATATAAAATATACACTATAACATAAAGGGTTCGACTATGATATCGGAAAGATATGATATCTGAAAATTTTCTGACCATTCAACTAGAATTATAAACATGGCAGCCAATCAAGTGTTATTTATCAAAATTAATAGGTGGCTTTTGATTGGTCAAAACTCTTTTGATACCATGTCTTTCTCACATCATAGATTTTCCCTAACATAAAAATAACACATACACACACACACACATACTAGTAAATATGCACGTGTGTCGCACATGGAAATTTCAAATTATAACAACAACAATAATTGTATATATATTGGTGAATTATTGCCTTTCAACCTAAAAACTTGTATCAAGTCTTCTTACTCTATATCTTATATCGATATTTTCAATTTATTGTATTAATTGAACCATTGCTTGCCTAGAGGCCAATTAGACTAATTGAATTGTTACTTGACTTGGATTTTAGGTTCATTTTCCACCAAATTGGTTATTTGTAAAAAACCATTGACTTGGCTAACAATATAGTGACCTAGCTAATTAAACCATTGAATCATTTGATTTGTTTAGTAGGGTGATTGAATAGACATTAATTTTCTCTTTTCATAATTTTTGTATTCCATTTCCATCATTTAACAAACATGAAAGTGGTTTCATTGCTAAGGCAGTTTTAAATTTTGTATTCTCTTTCTATATCATTAATAAAAATTCAAAGACCAAATTCAATGAGAGGGGTATTTTAAGTTAAGAAAAAGTTTAAAAGCCTTAGAGATCTATTATACTTTTTATAGATTTCAAGTAAATTGCAATTTATCTACAAATCAACGTGTAAATACCCCATACAATTTCAATTACAATTCATTAAGTTTTGTGATTTATAGATGTCTATTTAGACACATTGTGAGTTATCAAAAAAGAAGACATGTTTTGTAGTTATTTAAGATGCACAAAATAATTTCATTTATGTCCTTTTATATAACTCAGCAAGAAGTTAACAATGGGGGGCTTAATTTGTCCTATTTTGATATTATTTTAAACAATCAACAAAATACTTGATTTTCCCTCAAATTCAAATACGAAAGCATTAACACAAAGAGGAAAAATAATTCTTATAGATTTTCTAGAAAATCTAAGGGTTCGTAATGATTTTCTCAAAAATACTTCTTATTAATCTTTTTAAGGGTATGTTCATTTGAACAACATTTGAAATAGAGGAATTACATTTTTTTTCTTCTTTTTTTTTTGACTCCATTGGGCTACACAACAAGGATGACCCATCCATTAAACCCATAACCCCCAACCTAGGCGTAGGTGGTATTTGATTCCAAGTCTCTCAGCTACAACCACCAAGAGACTTTACTGATAGGCTAGTTGTTGCCTTATATATAAAAGAACCACAGTTAAAACTTATTTGATAAGGATATCTCTTTCATCTTTCAAAAGAGTTTTCAATTCCCAACCTTAACTTTTCTTCTTAATTTTAGTTGTGATGTTATTTGGAGCCTTCTTACCAATTATGCCTTGAATAATTAGAGCACCCAAATATGGGATGCTCATAATCTTAGAAATCAATTTTTAAAGCCTATCTAACAATTTTTTAGAAAAAAAGAATGACATTTTGAAATGGATATTTCAAATTAGACCCTCTCTCAAACATCTTGAGATTGGGTAGGAACTACTTATAAATCAATGGAAAAACTAACCCAAAAACCACCACTTTAAAAACTGGACTGGATTGAATGATCGAACTATTTGACCTAGAAACTAGTCATAGTTCTGGGTCTGATTTTGGGTTGGATAGCTTTTTATGAAAAAACATTGACTTTGTCAAAATCTATTGACCCAAGCGGTCGAACTAGTAAACCGTTCGACCCAAACAGCGGTTTGTAGGTTTTTGGTCAATTTCTCTCTCTCTCTCTCTCTCTCTCTCGCCCTACCCCTTATTCAATTATACTATTTCAACACACTTTCTCTCGGTCACCTCTCACATCTCACATTTTATCTATCCCCCTAGTCCCTATCTCTTAATACAATTAATGTATTAGCATAGCCTTTTTAAGTTTTAAACTTTGATTTTAATGGAATGATAGGAACAAAAATTATAAATTAGAATATGAATTTAATACAAGCATTACGGGGTTTATTTCTCAGAAAGTTAATATTTGCAGGCTGAACTATTTGACCCAGATTGTTGAACCTCTAACTTGGAAACCTATGGTCAAAGCAATTTTGAAAACGAATTAGTTTCTAAAACCTTGCCAAAAACCATATTCAA